AATATCAAAATACACACCCGTCTAAGTATTAAGGACACAGATAACTCCTGAACATGCCCCCAAAACAGAAGAAAATGACCATATCAGCACATGTCAAAAAACAAGATAAAAGCGACTGAGGCAAATGAGCTGGAAGTAGACCTACACTCCATACTGTAAGATGGGCAGGCTTTGGAAATGCCTGAGAAGGAATTCAGAAAAATGATTATAAAATGTATCAGAACACTATACAATGGAATTGAGAAAAATAAAGAAGTCAGGAAAATACTACAGGAACAATCAAACGAGATAGATACAGCATTGGAAACAATTCAAAACTTACAGAAAGAGGTCCAAATGATCAATAATAGAATATCAGAAAATGGACAATACACTGAAATGGCAAAGGAGTAGAACTGAAGACACAGAAGCCAAAAGTAGTAAGCAGAAAATAAATCTCTCAACACAGAAGAGCAAGCAGAAAAAAGGACTAAAAAATCTGAAGAAGGCCTCAGATTCATGTTGGACAACATGAAGAGAAGTAACTTAAGAATTATCGGCATTCCAGAACAAGTCCACAGAAGAGATAGTTGAAGAGCTTCTGGAAGAAAATTTTCCTAACATCCTGAAAAGCAAAAAGATAAGCATTCCAGAAGCTCAATGAACCCCCGGAAGGATAGGTCCTGAAAGATAATCACCAAGACATACAATAATCAAGCTATTCAAAAATAAAAGATAAGGACAGAATCCTGAAAGCAGCTAGGGAAAAGAGAAATATAACATACAAAGGCAAGCAAATCAGATTAAGCTTGGATTTCAGAAACCATGCAGGCAAGAAGGCAATGGGGAGACATATATAAAACCCTGAAAGAAAAAAATATATATCAATCAAGAATCCTCTACCCAGCAAAGCTGTCAATCAAATATGATGGTATAATCAAAATGTTCCAGGATAAACAGAAGCTAACAGATTTTGCCAAAGCCAACCCTGCTATGGAAAACATCCTAAAGAAAGTTCTGTGGACTGAGAACCAACAAGAACAGACAACAACCAGAGAATGACGTACATGGCAACATCACCCTGAATTCAATCGACAAATGGAAGAGTCAAGAACAGAATAAAACTATAAGAACAGAGGATCTGGGAAGTCAGTCTATGATGAAAGTAATTACAATGTGAAAGAAGGTAAACAGAGAGGAACAGAACTCCAGGTGGTGAGAAGGTCAAGTAGATTACAGGATAAAATAGACTGTCTTAAATGGAGGGAAGAATTAATGGAATATAAGGTAACCACAACAGTGGGGTTGGGGTGGGGGGATTAGTTCGGGTGTTGGGGAGGGAAATACAAGAAGGGAGAGGAGGTGGAAGAACAAGATAGATAGGGGAACACTGAGACAGGTTTTCATGTCCTAAGTGGGACAGAGGTAAATAGTGATACATGCTCAACCTTGAAACAGCAGGGCTCTGTGATACAGGGATTTAGGCATAGTTTGAAAAGGGGAAATAATACTAAAACGCTTGACTGTCTCATGAATATTGGTTTCCCTTGCTTACTACTATAAAATAGACTCTTGAGTCAGATAGAAAGAAATGTTGGGAAACATGATTACAGAAAACTTGTAAGCTTGTCTTTAAGCCTGTAACTGACTGGAATACCTAAAAGGGGTTCTAGAACTTGCCCAGTGAAATAGGCCTCTTGCAAAGCCTTTGTAGAGTATAGGACCTTACTTAGGTGGAATCCTGAGTCCCATCCAGAACCTTCTGAGGTGGGACATTCCCACTAGCAAGGACAAGCAGACCAGCCTGGAACAGCTAAAGCAACAGAAAATACATCTTCAAATAAAGGTCATCAGGAAAAACCCCAAACAAAAATGTCAGCATGCCTGGCTACTACAAGAATAAGCAAGCTGTTCGCCAGGAAGCCATCAAGGCAAGCAATCAAGTTCCTTCAGGACAGACTCTCCTCTAAAACTTAAACTCAAGGGGAACACATGAGCAGCAATGTAAGCTTGCTGGTGACCACATTGGTCTACTGGTGAGTGGAAGACGGGAAAAGCAGCAATGAAGAAATGGGCTGAGTTCAACCCCAGTCTATTGACTCCCGTTGACCTGGAGATGAGAGAGAGGAAGGGCTGGTTGGTTCAAAGTGTGGTGAGAAATGGGGAAACTTGAGCCCATGGACAAGGACATAGCCACAGAGGGCTAGAGCTGAGAGTAAAGCATCCAGCTGATATGAAGTAAGGGGAGATGCACAAGAACACCCAAACTTGGAGACAGTACCTATTTGATCTAGCCTTGATGGCTTGAAAATCAGAACTTGACTAGAGGAAGGTAAAAAAGAAAACAATTTTTGACAAAGGAAACAAGGGTAAATTGCTAGAATTTGATGAACTTGACCTATACTCGTGGAGGTGTGTGCTGTGGAGTAGGTTCTGACTCATAGCGACCCTGTACAGGTTTTCCGAGGCTGTAAATCTTTATGGGAGCAGAAAGCCTCATCTTTCTCCTGCATACCCATGGAGGTAGTAACTCTAAATAGCAACAGAGAGTGACAGAATCTTCACATCAAGTATCAATGCTATCCCCTCTGTACACAGGGTGATAGGGACGGGCAACTTAAACACTGGCTACCTAAAATGAGGGGACAATAAAGGCACGAAGTGACTGGCTTACAAGGTTTCAAGAGGGAGTTTAGTTTAAGAGTTCGGGGGAGGAAAGAGTCCCCACTGAATAGTTTTCATCTTGTCTAGATGGGTCTGGTGAAAAGATATGAGGATAAGATTTGTATGATTTAATAATTAATCATTGTTATCATGACTAATTGCAATGGGCACAATTGTAAAGGTAGAAGTTATGTAACAAAAATAGGGGAGTGGTTAATCTTACAGTCCAGAAACAGAGGACCCTAGGACCATCAAGGGAGAAGAGCACATGAGGAATGTGGGACCTTATCCAGAGAAGCAGCAACGCCAGAGACGGAGGCAGAGATGGGGGCATGGAGAGGGGGAGCGGCTGAGGACTCTAGATTCATAGGAAGAGAGGGACTAAGAGCTGCTGGCCAGGAGGTAAACATGCAGAATGTGCTCTTTAGAGGTGTAAATTATTATATATGCCTGAGTGTTTTTGTAAGTTTGTGTTTGTTTTTTTTTTTTTAAAAAAAGAGCTAAAGTGAATAGAGAGAAATACTGTTAATTGATGGTACATGGAGGGGATTATAATCATTGTAATGAAACAAGGTGTATGATTTGTTGAATGCAAAACTGATAATCTGCCTTGTTTTTATTCATTAAAAACGTTATTTTTATTGGTTAAAAACATTTAAAAAAAAGTTTAAACAAAAAAAAACTGATCTGCTCTGCCAACTTGCACCTAATTCACACTAAAAAGTTAAAAAAGATATGAGTGTTGACAGAAAAAGGAAACGAGCTCCTCGAATCTCTTGCTTTAATACAACAAATGGCTACTAAACATACTCAAGTGCAGTCATAAAATTACCATGGCAATTTAAAGACTGGTTAGAAAAATAGCATCATACAATAAGACACGGTTCTTATTCTCGGGTCATTGGTGTGTGGACCTCTGCAATTATAAATGAGTACACAGTGTTCATTATAACTATGAACATGCAATCTTACAACATTCCTTATAGACACAGAAACAACTTCCTAGCTTCAATTCAGGAATATCCTGATGAAGAGTGGTGGTCTGACCAAAAGAAGGGTGGGTGGTATTACGAATGTTCGGGCACAAAAATGTACAGTGGGATGGGTCTTAGCTGGTTTTGTACTGCCCTCTCATCATCTCACAAATGTCTTTGGACTGTTTATCTGATCAGATGTATGTTTAGTCTTCACAGAGAAGATGCTCAAGACCAAAGATAACATGCAGTGTTCCTGTTCCACCTCTCAAAAAAAAGAAATAATAAATACTTGTCTGAAACCTGGTGTGGTGCTGTAGGATAAGCACTGGACTGCAAGGTCAGCAGTTCAAACCCAACAGCCATTCCTCAGAAACCCTATAGAGGGTCACCAACTCAATGGCGCTTAGCAACAGCAAAGATACTTGTTGGGAGTAAAGTAAAAAGTCAAATTCCATTTTTCTTGTTGGGAGTAAGTAAAAAGTCAAATTCCATTTTATTTTTTAAAATGTAATGAAAACTATCCCTGTTGCACAATATGTGATATGTTTCAAACGCAAAAGCATTTATTTTTGCACATCTGCCCCAATAGCAGCTCAATTAAAACCAGGCCCATCAGAGCTGCAGTTTCCTTAACCGCTTGGTTCCTGTCACACTGTAGATAGCAGAAAAGTACTTAACGGCGGCCACAGGGCAATTTTCCAGGAAGACTTGTTAATCTTTATACAGTCATCTTCATGCAGCCATCAAAGTGAACTTAATGACAAATCAGTTAAAATAAATTACTTTTAGGAACTTGTAAGGATTGGATAAAAAGCAAACCATATGTGACATCTCTTCGGTCCTCTCCGTGACGGTATATAATTATCACCATCTGTGCTGTTTATTCTGTTTGCCCTGCCTGCCACCCCCCTCCCAAATCCACAGATCTACTCTGCCCTTCTCTGTCCTCGATGGACCACAGAACTGTATCTGCATCAGCTGGGGCCTTCTTCCCTGGTTTCCAGCTGGGCTCAGCCAATGGGAGGTACCAGAAGAGGTCAGAGGACAGGAGGAGAAAACTGTCAGATAGTTAGTTATCTCCCCACCCGCACTGCTCTTGCAGCCAGGCAGCCCCTCTTCCTGGGCTGTAACTTAGGGTAGTTCAATGTCACTTTCCCCTCTTTCCTCCCTTATACTTCAGTCCCACGGATGGGCACAGCTTCCTGTTGCTACTAGTTGCTACATGCTTCACCAGAACTTTGTTGGTTCTGTGGACCTATCTACACTTCTATTTAAAAAGCCCTTACTTAGACTGTCTAAGCCCTTGTGAGGCGTTTCCTGGTGCTGGCTGAGACACTGACAGACTAACTGACACAGAGGCTCCAGGCTGGGGTAACTTACATGTACTGTATGGACCAGATCAGCCATCAGGCACTGCTTCAGCTTCTCATCATTGCTGGTTCCATGAAGCACCAGATCAGGCATGTATGTGGGACAATAGCCCGCCAAAAGTGACCGGCCGAAGTTTCTTACATTCTGGTTACTGATAATCTGAGACCTAGAAAAATACATATAGGTAAAAATGTACTCCCTTCTGGTAAACTCCAACGATGAAGGTCAGTTAGATTTGGGGTGGCCCATTTTATCAATCCTTCAGCAAATGGATCACTGGTGTGAGAAAGGGAAGGAAGTTCAGGCAGAAAAAGATTTTGTGTTTTGTTTTTTTTTTTTTTCAAATGGAAGGGTTAAAAAGAAAAAAAATCACCACCATGGCTGTCAGATAGGGACATAGTGTGTACAGAGCATAACTTCTCCTTAAGAGTTTTCAAGGCAGTTTTATAGAGTTTGTTTATAGAGTTTGTTCTTGTTCTGAATATTCCCTAAGCTATCTGCATCAAAAGTAAAGAAAGAAGTCTACTGAGGGGGACTCTACCAAAGCTTGGCTTGAGGAACTCTTATCTACACATCTGCACAAGGTAATGCCCACAACAGTGCAAAAGAGTAGGAAAAATCACTAATTACTGTTTACAGTCATCACAGGCCAAATAATCAACCTGATAGAGTGTTAAGAAAGAGATGTTGTTTCCCAAGCACGACATGCTGCTTGGAGCGGCAAGAGAGAAGCCACATGGCGAGTGTAATTCACCACCTCTGAAGTAAGGCATCTGCTGCCAGCCATATCACTTCCATCCAGATGAGAGGAAATGATCCCTGATCACCACCACCACCAATCCCGTAAGCTTCCCCAAGTTGTCATAACAGCTGCAAAGACAAGCCCCTCCTTGCTCACAGAACTCAGCTGCACTAAGACTGTGATCATCCTTAAAAATAAGACAGGCGGCAAACTACGTTGTATTGATTTAGAACATTTCTAATGTTGTTGTCAGTTGCTGTTAAGTCACTGCCAATTCATGGGGACACAGTGTGTGCAGAGTATAACTGCTCCACAGAGTTTTCAAGGCAGTGACTTTTGGAAGCAGATTGCCGGGTCTTTCCTCCAAGGCACCTATAGGTGGATTCTAACAGCCAACCTTTTGGATAAGTAGTTGAGTGCTTAATTGTGCCATCCAAGGACAACTATTGTTGTTGTTGTTGTTGTTGTGTGCCGTCGAGTCAGTTCCGACCCATAGCGACCCTGTACAGGGTTTCCGAGGGTGTAAATCCTTTCGGGAGTAGAAAGCCTCATCTTTCTCCCGCGGAGCAGCTGATAGTTTCGAACCGCTGACCTTTAGGTTCACAGCCCGATTCGTAACCACTACGCTACCAGAGCTCTTATATTAGCCTTATAATATTTTAACTATTAGCCTTATAATATTTTAACTGGAGGGAAAAAAACCCACAATGTTGTATGTCAAACAGCCAGCGGTAGTGCTGGGTCCATGATCACGGGTTAACCAGAGCCAAAACCCAAACCAGTCTCATAGAAAAGCTACAGGACAGAATGGAACTGTTCCATAGGATTTCTGAAGCTGCAATTTTTTACGGCAGCAGACAGCCTCATTTTTCTTCCTTTGAGGGAGGTTAAACTGCCAGCCTTGTGGTTAGCAGTCTAATGCTTAACCCACTGTGCCACCAGGGCTCCTTTGATCATGAGTTAGTTCAGGAAAATTGTATTTGCACCCAATTCCCTCTGCTTCCCTGCCCGCCCACATTACCTGGGCAGAGGCAGTTCCACCTCTAAAGACGCTTCAGTCCTGTCACCACAGTGACTTAGACTCAGCATGGCTGATGCACATGTTTCGTCATCACTGTCTCCGAGAGCGCTATCTGAGCTTTCATTTCTGGGAATGTCTCTTTCAATTCTGAGGTCCACCTTCTTGATGGCATCCCCACAGGGGACATCTGCAGCACCTGAGAGACCAGAGTCCTGTTCTATATGCCTGCTTGGAATAGGCACTAACAAAGGTCCTTCTGCTGCCTTCAAACACAGACCTTTTACTTTCTTCAACATTTGCTCTCCAGTTTCATAAGCAGTGTCAGAAGATGCAAACGAGTCAGCAGATTGGTTGAAATGACCAGCAACATCTGCCATCACACTGGTTCTGATGCCTCTCTCCTCAGCAAAACAGCTATCAAATTCGCCTTCAAGCCCTTCAGAAGACTGGTTCTGAGGACAGCGGACATTCTTTAGAAGGCCAGGTTTAAAGGTGCACCTCAAAACCTGCTGGTCCCCAACCATGTCAGGGATCACCCTGAACTGAGCTGAGGAATTTCCAGCTACATCTGTACATTGTTTATAGGCCTTTAGCTGCTCCTCCATTTTCTTTGTGCGACTTTCAAGGTCAGACTCTGGAGAGACTGAACTTCCAATCTGGAAAGTGACCTTTTCTAAAGGAGGCTTCTCCCAGGAAGGTCTGTCAGGGCAAGGCCAGGCTGCTGACCGGTCTGGTTGTTTCTTAGGCATCACCCCTTTCAACTCCTCACTTACAGTCTGCTGGCTCATTTTTAACTCTACTCTCTGAACATCAGAACTGGACAGGTGCAAAGAGTCATCTTGTGGTGTCTCTTTTTTACATCCTTCATCCACACAAAATGTGCCTTGATGTTGCCAAGAGCTGTCCAAAGCTGGTTCTTGGAATCCCATGCTACTGGCCTCAGAACTGTGCTCTGGTCTCTTGCTTTCTTCATCAGGGCTGGAACACAGTTCAGTAATATCGGTACCCTCTATGGTGCCAGTCAACCCTGTAAGCCCCAGGTTGCTTCTCTCCGCCATTGTTATTGGTAGGATGGGTGGTACGAGAGCAGGCTCATTTCTCACAGTAACTACCACATACTCTGACTCCTCAACTTCGCCTTTCTCCAGGGCAGTGGTGATCTTGCTCCCATCTAACACTTGGTCACCTTCGCCATGATTCCCACTCCAGGTAAGCTGGTTCTCTTGTAGCTCAGAGCATCGGAGAAAGTAGGTCAGAACATATAGTATGCGCTGGACCAAATCCTTCTGCTTGCCTACCACCACGGTACGAGTCAGCCTTACTGGAGATCCTATGGCTCCATACAGATCACCTAGAGTCAGGGAACACAAAGACAGAATCCTCTGGAGTTAGCCTGTCATGGATAGGTCAGCCTTTACAAGACAAAAACAGGTACTGTATGTTCCCAATCTAGAATTGCTTCTCTAAACACATGGGCTGAAGCAAAGAGGTAATGTCTAGTAATGGTTTTGTTCTTGTTTTGGGAACATCCACGTGGAAAAGGCTGACCCACGTTGCAGTCCGCCATCCACGGTGCTTGAGGCTGGCACTATTGTACACATAGAGACTGCTCTGTGTTCTTGCTCTCTAGCCTATTAATGAAGGATAAAGTCAGAACCTTGAACACGTGACCAAATAAAATACTGGATCTTGGAAATTAGAATGAAAAGAATGTTAGCAGATATCCAGGGCAATGAACCTTGGGATGAATTCCTAATTGGGGTAATCTCTCAACAGAAGTTCAGCGAGTGCATTCAAAATACTCAATAAGGGGCCTGCTTAGTATTCTCTCCATATACACACACACACCAAGTATGACCAACTGGTTAACAAGAAGAAAATCACAGTCATGAGTCATGAACCTGAATGTTTTCTGAAAGGTCTACTGGAAAAAACATGTGCCCCATTAGTTACATTCTGCTAAGTTGATTTAAAGTTGTCTAATGAGGGATATCATGCTGATGTCCGAAGGATCTTGGCTGAAAGCAGAGAATACCAGAAAGATGTTTAGCCGTGTTTTATTGACTACGCAAAGAGTTTTGATTGTATGGATCATGACAAGCTATGGACAACATTGTGAAGTATGAGTATTCCTGAACACTTAATTGTACTCATGAGGAATCTGTACATGGATCAAGAGGCACTTACTCAAACAGAACATGGGAATACTGAATGGCTATAAATTAAGGAGCACTGGTAGCATAGTGGTTACGAATTGGGCTACTAACCTCAAGGTCAGCAGTTTGAAACTATCTGCAGTTCTGCGGGAGAAAGATGAGGTTTTCTGCTCCCATAAAGATTTACAGCCTTGGAAACCCTGTGCAGGGTTGCTATGGGTCGGAATCGACTCAACAGCATTTAACAACAACAAAAAAAAAAA